TATATATATACATATATATATATATATACATATATATATATATATATATATATATATATATATATACTATCAATAAAAATTCAAATTAGTTATTTGTTTAACTCGCCGTTACATCGTTTTAACGGCGGAAGGTAATAAGTCGATAACAAGGAGACTCGTTTGTTATTTTGATACCCGACCTACTTTCGCATCCTTCGCTTGCCCACTTCGTCACGAAGCCGCGGCGCTCCTTCCTCTTCGTCTGCTTTTCCCTTTACAACCTCGAACCCTTGACGCGAAGCAGGCTTGCAGGTAACACTAGTAGTAGGTGATGGTGTTTGGTAGTAGTAGTAATCCGTAGGCAAATCTCGTTTCACAAGAAAATTCTCTTTTCATAAGTTAGTTCATTTCTTTGGGCCAATCATTTGGGACTTTGTGTTTGCCTTTCAGATGTATGACAAAATGTCTTCAGTTTTGGAAGATGCTTTTAGTGTAGTTGGTGCTTATGAACTGTTTGATGGAATGACTGAAAGCAACTTAATTCATCAATCTGATCTACAAGCTTGGTGAATTTGGTGGTGTATTTTTTTCGATATTCTGCGTGTAATTTATGACTTGTGCCTTTTAGCATATGGCATTTGGTGCTTTTTGGTTAGAAGTATTGACTATCTTTACATTTATGAGTAAAGAAAATATAAAAGTAGGAAATTGTGCTGCATGCCTTTCTGCGTTAATGGATATGTTCACCGTCTCTTTAGTATCTCTGCAGCTCAGATATGAAGGTGGGTTTATTGAAGTGGGAAGTTCTTAAACATCTAAAGGGAGGTTTAGGGAAACCGATGTTTCTACTAGGTAATCTTACCCCAAGTCGAATCACATTTTGCATTCTTCATTTGTATGTTTCAACATATACTGGTGATAGTTACTATTCATTACAATTATTTTTCTTACCCCATGAAACTTATTATTAGTTGTGCTCTAGTTTGAACTGCATGGTTCAAGCACTTGATAAAGAAACTGTCACAAGAATACTTGCACACATATTTTGTGTTCGAGAAGCAGACTTGTAAATTTTTTATTTTCAAACATACAGGCTTCTATAGAGGTTCTCAGGCATGTTTATCGACTATGCCATTTGATGAGTACAAAGAGAAGAATGAAATCGAGGATGACAATTTTATTGATGACAAGAAAGAATTGGAACCACAAGGTGTAGACCCCATAAAGGGCTGGGGCTTCAGAGGTGTACATAAGGTATCATCGTCAATTTTAAACCTCCCAATTTATACAACTTCTGCAATGTGTTGCTGGTCTATCCTTTTTTCTTTAATTGTTTATATGTTTACATGTATGTTTCACCATGTAGGCGATTATTTGCGGAAAAATTGGTCAGGCTCCTGTACAGAAAATATTAAGGAATGGCAAGACTGTGACCATATTCACTGTTGGAACTGGAGGTATGTACGACCAAAGAATTACTGGAGCTGAGCATTTGCCAAGACCAGCTCAGTGGCACCGGATTGCTGTTCATAATGAATGGCTTGGAGCATATTCTGTCCAACAGTTAGAGAAGAAGTATGCAATCTTTTATTCTTTTAACCCAAACAATTCCATTCTTTTGCGAGACAAATTTTCTTGTGGCATTTTCTTGAGTGTGGACGTGTTTTCATGCTTCCCAGTCTGTATTGTAATGTTGTTCTTTAGTTTCTAATAGTGGTATCTGTATTTTGGTTCTCTGTTTCAGCTCTGCTGTTTTTATTGAGGGGGATATTGAAACCAGAGTCTACAATGACAGCATCACTGGCCAGGTGAAAAATATACCTGAAATTTGTGTGCGCCATGACGGTATGTCAATCATCCCAATTTTCTTGTTTGCTTGATGCAGCTATTTCATTTTTCTAACTTAGGTTTGTCAGAATGTGAACTTACTAAACGATTGTTTGGATTTCATGAAGAAACATTGCACTCAGTAGATTCTGTGTGACCCACAATATCAGATGAAGTTCAACTATCACATGAGATCGTGGTCCAGCTGGTTATACACTATCTTGTATACATACAATCAGTATTATTTCAGATAAAAAATATAATTCCTTAGAGAAGTGTTTCAGGTATCAGTAGTACCTGAATTTAAACATTTGATAAAAGCAACTCAGTAAAGAATTTAAACATTTCAAGTAATAAAGCACATTGCTTCATCTTAAGCACTGGAGAATTAATGTGTTTAATATTTGTTTGTTGAATAAAGTTCTTGATGCATTTAAGTTCATCATTTACATTGTCATAATATTTAATTTGCTTTGAAAGAATTCCACATCTTCATTCCTTTAAGTATGTGCTTGCTATCTTAGATTTGTTTGACAAATTGATTGTTGACTTTAAACAAGTTATATATTGTAGACTGTTGACTTTAAGTATATGCTGTGGTTTTTACATGAGTAGTTCAGTATTCTTGTCTCAAAAGTCGAAACCACCGACGGATCGGGGCCCAAATCCAATTGGTTGATCCAATTCGTGAGTTAATCCACTGATACTATTTTTTTTACCAAACCAAAACAATGGAAGACAGTGATGAAATGGGAGTTAACACACACAGGATGGGTTTTAGAGCCTCCTTTCAGCCATTAGGTATATATACTTCTCATGAACTAAGAAATTGTTTCTTTGTAAGCATTTTGAAATGATGTAAGGATTTGTGGCACGAGGAGAACCATGTATGGTGGCCTGCATGTAGGTAAATATCATACATTTTCAGTCATATTTGCAAGTATCTGTTAATTTGTATTTTCCTCTTTTTTTCTAGGAATAGGCTGTTTCTTGATTTTCATTTTCTCCTTTAATTTGTCAGTTGGTGGTGGACAGTTTGTGAACATTTCATATAGTTTTCTAGCTATTACTATATGTTTATTTTTTCATAGATTGTTTTTAATTAATGTGTATACATGTTTGGTTTCTACAGTAACCAATACTAGTGATGCATTTTGTTTGTAGGAAAGGTTCGCTTGATTAAGTCTGGGGATAATGCTGCCAGCATGTCTTTGAAAGGACTGTAAGTTAACCTCAATCTGTTCCTTGCCTTTGGTCGGAAAAGTTAGTCTTTTGCCTCTCTTTGTATTGATATTCCACTGCACAGGAACTATCTTTTCTGAACTTCTTGTGGGTATAAATTAGTTGGGAGGTAAATTATGTTATTTTGTTGGGGCATAACCAAATTGAATGAACATGTAATTTCTGAGTGTATCATATGGAGATTTGTGTAAAGGCATCAGATGATGTTGCTAATCTTTTTTCATTTTTGTTTTTTGAACAACATAATAACCATTATGGTCCCATGATTTGAATCCACTCCTGAATAAGTCCTTTATTTTAGTCTCTTTATAGAATGCTTTATTAGGATCCTATTGTTAGGTGCATTAATGATCTCTGCACGCAGGGAAAAGGTTAAGTCATGAAAAAGAAGGGTTGCTTTTTATTGGGTATTGGTTCTTTTAAGAATTTTCGTAAAATGTTGATCCGAAAATGTTCCAAAAGCTCATGATTACTAGGATCCTATTGTTGGGTGCATCAGTGATCTTTGCACGCAGGGAAAATGATAAGTCGTGAAAAAGAAGGGTTGCTTGGGTATTGGTTCTTTTAAGAATTTTCGTAAAACGTTGATCCGAAAATGTTCCAAAAGCTCATGATAACTTCGAAACTGTGTAGATTAATTGCTGTTTTCCTTACACTAAATTTCATTAACTAATTGTTGTAAGTTGTATCTTTGGTTGCAGGGGATGATGAATCGTTTTGAACATTTATGGTGGTTTACCTGCTTGTAGCTTCAGATCAAGTATCTGTCAGTCATACCATAGCGGGTACACTCGTTGCAATGATCATCAAATTTTATGATCTGTAACTTCTCTTGTTGTTTACTTCACTGCTAAGAAGGATTGCTGAGTTGTGTTTCTTGATCACCTCCGTACACTAAAACAGTGTAGAGATTTGAAGTTTCCATTTGACATCCTCAATATGGATATTGAAATCTTCTGCAACCAGTCTTTATAAGTAACTCTTTTTGTGGTCAACATTCAGAATCATTTACATTCTTGAAACGATCAAACCCCAAATAAATCATATTGAAGAGAGGATAAAATTGATCCCATCCGACTTCACTATTTTTGTTATTTTGTCTTCTCAACATAGTAGGGGATTTTTCTTATTAGTTAGATATAGTCGTGGAAATGTGTACCCCTTATGTATTAATTGATCTCAAGTCATGTTTCAATATATTTAAAAGCGATAAACCTACTTATATTAATCTAATAAAAATGTGTTTATCCTGTTTCGGAGAATTTTATCAGTGCACTTGGATGGTGGAAGCACGCGGGTCGGATCAAGACTTCAAAGATCCAACATCCGCAAGCCAGCCTTCTTCAGTACTCTTTGCTCGAAGCGGGTCAAAAATCCCTAGATCCAACATCCAGAACATGACCATAATGCCCTTCTTCTTCTTCGTCGTCGTCGTCGTCGTCTTCCTCTTCCCATGTATATATAAAACGACCCCTCGCGATGGCCATTTCGATCTGTTCCTTCCTCGTCACAGATTACCCTCCGCGAGGGGTCGAATTACGGGGGATGGACCCGCTGTCGGTGCTGCGGGAGTACGCGATCCGGGGAGAGCTGGACCGTGTGGTCCGATCGGACGACGAGCTCCGGTTCGGCTCCGACTACGCCTTCCCCTGCTCCGCCGTCACCGGGTACCGCTCCAAGCAAGGTGGTTTCTACACCCTCGACGCCCTGCTCTTCTTCGCCCGCCACCACCACCTTAAGCACACCGAGTATCTCCAATCCGCCCGCCAACACCGCGTCCCCACCGTCACCTTCCCGGACCGCAAGCCAATCCTCGACTACCTCCTCGGCCGCACCGCCTCCTCTGACGCCGTCTCCCTCCTCCCCCCTCCCTCCTCCGCCGTCGAGGAGTATCGCCCGGACGAATCCTCCCTCCCCCTCGACGAATCGCCATCCGCCGCCGCCACAGAGACCTTGGCAGATGTCCCCCCCGCTGCCGCCGCGACCGCCGTCGACTACGTCGCCATGATCCGCTCCATGGAGCGGCCCCTCAAAGATCGTGAGTCCCTTCTCGAGTGCCGCAACCGCGACTTCCACGCGGTGCTCCTGGCGTCCACCAAGCGCGAGGAGGAGCGGCAGCGCCTCGAGTCCCAGCAGCGAAAGGACGGCCTCGTCGCCAAGACCCGCCTCATCAGCTCCGACGATCACCACCGGCCCGTCGTCTCCGCGTACGGAGGCGGTGGCAGCGGAGACGATGCAGCAGGCGCCGCCGCGCCCAAGCCCAAGATGCACCTCAAGGGAAGCAAGATCGGGGAGGGGGTGCCCATCATCATGGTGCCCAGCGCGTTCCAGACCCTGATCACCATATACAACGTCAAGGAGTTCTTGGAGGACGGGGTGTTTGTGCCGAGCGATGTGAAGGTGAAGGCGGTGCGGGGGCCAAAGCCCGATTGTGTGACAGTGCAGAAGAAACTCAGCCGGGATCGCGTGGTGGCCGCCTATGAGGTGAGGGATAAGCCATCCGCGTTCAAGCCCGAGGACTGGGACCGTGTCGTGGCCGTGTTCGTACTTGGGAAGGAGTGGCAGTTCAAGGATTGGCCCTTCAAAAACCATATTGAGATCTTCAATAAGAGTGAGTCCCATGCAGATCAACTGTTTGTTTGTTTGTCTCCTCGTTTACAATTATGATAGGATGTTGCATGCTCTTTTACCTCTACAAATATCTTGCTCATGGAGTTCAAAGTCTGATTTCTTCATAATATAGCATGCTAAGTTGCTTCTCGACTTTCATTAGCCAAGTTTGTCTTTTGCATAAATATATATCATAATTGTGTTCTCTTTCTTTTGAAACCTAGAAGGTTTCTATAATTCGCCATTGCTTTTCACAATGCATCCATATGGATGAGTTGTCATGCATGCACTGTATAAAATGAATCCTCTCCTTGCTGATTTATATTTCAAATATTTTAATGCTTCAGTTTATAAGAGTTAGTGGTGTATTCTAATTCCTATTCTTTGTGATAAGCCATTGCATTACATTATTTGGTTCTGCTAACTTAGTTTGGCAAAAGACACATGATTAAGGGGAAAAGGAACGATCATAGTTATAGGTATCACACATTTGATTGTATGCTAAAATAAGAATGTACAACACCATATCAAGCAACTCATATCAGCAACACATCACAATGTTCTATGTATTTCTCATGTTGATAAGCTCTGCTGTGTTTTACTGTAGAGCAATTCAAACAGAGGATAAGCTCAAGAGTCAGTAGAGGATGAGACTTCTGTTGGTGACAAAGATTAAGAAATGTATCAGTAGAGATTAAGCTCAATATCTTCTACTTTTCTCTACTGTTGTTTTCAGTGTTCATCTCTTAAATCTTGACAATGCATTATATAACATTGTTTAGCTCATATGATATCACTTCTATCGCTCTTTATTAATAACCACACTGCTTCTATGTTCCTTAACTTAGTGACCTTTTGGATAATTCTTTACGATACGATGAAAAGGGCGCACTTACTATTTTTACAGTTATCGGGTTTTACGTGCGTTTTGAGGATGATAGCGTGGAATCTGCAAAAATAGTGAAACAGTGGAATGTAAAGATTATATCAGTGAGTTAACCTCATAGCCTCTTTTGAGTGTTGTAGTTAGCATGTTTGTGTTTTTACAATTGGTTTTTCATGCAACTTCTGCTTTTGTTTTGTTCTGTTTTTGTTTTGCAGATTAGCAAACATAAAAGACATCAGGACAGGGCGGCTGCTCTGGAGGTGTGGGATCGGCTCGAAGAGTTTACACGGTCACGGTCGCATGCTTGAAGTACTTAACGAGTTCGATGTGTGTGTGTGTATGTGTTTTTTTTTTTTGGTTTGTTACTGGATTTAAGATCCTCATCCTTCTGCTTAAAGACTTAAATCTCAGTGCCTGAAACAGTGCTGCAGATGTTGTTAAGCTGCTTATATTTGTCCGGTACAACAATCAAGGATCGGTTTATGCAATTTTACCTTTCAGTTTCTTGTATTCATCCTGTTGAACATGTCTGTTCGTCTGATATGAGCTTGTTGATGTGAACTGACATTGATCACGCATGGAAGGAAGGAATGCAAAGATGATTGCTACAGTAAACGGGCCGTTTGGGTGGTTGACGCAAATCTTGGCCCGTGAGAGAGGTATGGGCCCCACGCAAACGTTGCTCTCCGTCCGTTCGTTATTGATCAGATGGTTGAGATCCCTCTTTCTTCTTTATGCGGTATCAGAAACGGACACTGACAAGCTAACGAATGGTGTAGATCGCACTACGGAGAACTGGCACGCATCTCCACGCCTCCCACGGCACCCTATAAGTTGGACGGTGGCGGTGCCCCCCAGCAACATCGTTCGACAGCTCTTCTTTTGAACGAGATCGAGAATGAAGCCCGCGCTCCTGTACGTCGTGATCCTCCTCCTCCTCCTCCGCCTGCAGCCGCAGCCCGTCGCCAACGGTTGCTGCGATGCCTTCTGCGCCGTGCTCTGCCGAGGTTTCGCCTGTCTCTCTCCTCTCTTTTGTTCTTTTCGTACTTGCTTCTCTGCCCCTGGATTAGTTCTTGGTGTTCTTTTGATTCTCGGGTTTTAGGTTGTTGGATCCATTTCCTTAGTCGATTAATATACTTCTCCACTGATTCATTCTTGCTTTTGCTCGATCTTGATTCTTGGTTGCTAGTTTCTTCCCTTCGGTTGCTTCTCCGCGTTAGGATCCTCCTGACTTGGTTCGTTCTTGGTGTTCTTTCGGCCGGTCTTGATCCATGGGTGTTAAGTTCTTGGATCCATTTCCTTGGTCACTTAACCTACTTATCGATTGATTCATTCTTTGTGTTCCTTTGCTCGACCTTGATTCTAGCCAGGTGCTAGTTCCTTCTCTTTAGTTGCTTCTTTGCGTATGGATCCTATTTACTTGGTGTTCTTCAGAAGGATCCCGTTTCTTTGGATGATGGTTTTGTCGCGTCTTAGCGTTTGCTAAACCAATGCCTTACCGAAGAAAAGGAATCCATCTTATTTGTCTTCATGCTCCAACTTCTCAGTTGGTTTGCTTTCAACTGATCTCGGGCCGCCTTCTGGTTCGGTGAATCCAGATATTTCGATCTTGAATTCTAGTCAGTAACTTTATTAATTCTGTTTCACAACTGACCGAGCTATGAATTATAATTACTATGTGTCTACTCTTCTTCCAGGGACTGATCTGTCTGCTGCCATTACCAGCACCACCACCGTTACAACCACCACTGTAACTACCACTAACAGATCCACTACTACCACCACCATAACCACCATCGAGATGCCTCAGCGGCTCATTCCTAACGGGAGTAATGGCACTCCTGTTTATCCTGCAGCAGCAGGTACTTATAATTGATCTATTTTATCGACTGATCATCATATGCTATGCTCTGTTCCTTAACCTAAGTCGCCCTATGTACAAGGCACTCCGTCCGTCACCAACGTCTTCCCAGTCTCATTGCCCGCCGAGAGCGGACTCCCCGCTCCCGACCCTGATACTCGTAAGTGTTTCCATTTACATGAATCTACGACAACGACGATGACGATGACACGTGTGGCTTCTTTGGGTTGCAGGCCCTACTCCGCTTGCCACCGAGAAATCCTCGCCGCTGCCTCTTCCGTGTTCGTCCATTCCAACGAGTTCCCTCGCCACCACCAAGGAATCCTCGCCGTTGCCACCACCGGGTAGGTCCATTCAAAGGGAGTTCCTGAAGGATGTGCGGCGTTATCTGAACGCCACGAGTTGCCGCAAGTTAGATCAATCTTTCGTGATCTTAATCGTAGACCCCAAATATTTTCTCGGCTTTTAATTCCTCCTTCCCCAGTTGTTAGCTCGCGAACGTTGGCCAACTCTCTCTGGCCCAATGTATACGATTGATGGTATACGTACGTCGGACACTGTCGTCTGATCTGTCCTTTGGTCGAGTGCTTGATCCCATGGC